ATTATTGCCGTTGTTTTGTATTATTTGTTATTATTGTTGTTATTATATTGTTGTTTAAAACTTTTAGATTTGTGTTTATCATTTATATTCTGTTAGTATTAGTTGATTAGTTTTTAATAGTTTTTTTTTTACAATTACAATGCAAATTAAATAAATTTTAATAAAACATAGTTTAAAAAACATTGAATTTTTTTAGACTTATGAAGTTGTCGCAAAAGCTTTCTTCTAGATAGATGCATAGACGGAAAATAATTGGAGTTTTGCACTGCGAGCTAATCTATCGTGCGCTCGCCTATATCAGATATGGTCACAAAGGTCCAGCACTCTGAATAATTCCAGTAGCTTGCTGGACACGATTGAAGTGATGTGATTCTTGTCCACGTAAATGAATCATAAGGCCTTGAGCTCTCATGCAACTTGTGTTCAGTTTCTGCGGCACTCGTACCACGTAACCTTCGATTGCATGTGCTTCACAACTTTAAAAACCACAAAAGCTTTCATTGCTTTCCTGAGCTTTCACTCAAGTGTTATTAAATTATTATTTCTTTGCGCCTTTTTTCTTTATAGGCTGTACAAAAACTTTCATGTAACATGTGTTCAGTTGCTGCGGCATTTGTTAGGAACTTCATTTGTAGTAGGCATAATTATCAATAAAAAAAGTGAAATATTTTTGAAAAAAAAAAAAAATATTCAAACAAAAAAATGAAAATAATAAAGAAGTAATTAAATATAAAATAGACAAAAAAAAATTAAATAACTTTAAAAAATTAAATTCGCTACAAACCCTTAATTTTTTGATTTTTATGTGCATAAATTTACTGTTTCTTGTCGGTTTCTTGATATTACTTATATTATAATTGATTATTTTACTTAATTTGTTTTTGTTATTTCTTTGCTTGCTTTCTGTATTACATTTTGTTTATACTATATAGTTTTTATTTCATTTATTTTTTATTCATTTTAATTTTATTCAATTTCACATTATTATTTCACATAATTTATTTTTCTTTTAGTTTTATTTTTTATTTTTTATTTGCTTTAATTCTTTTTCTTTTCTAAATTAATTCTTTTTTTTAATCTTTCTTATGTATTCTATTCATTTCTTTTAATTTTGTTTATTTATTTCTTTATTTTATTCTTACGTTATTTGTTTTTTTGTATTTTGTTTTACTTTACTTCATTCCATTCAATATAATTTTTTATTAATTTTTCATTTTCATTTCATTGTATTCTCTTTTCCTTACTTTTTTTCCTTTTCTTTTCTTTTCTTTTCTTTTCTTTTCTTTTCTTTTCTTCTCTTTTTGACTTTATTTTATTTATTTAGTTTTATTTCAATCTGTCA